GCATGAAGGGCAGCGCCAGGTGGCTGCAGGGCGAGTCACAGGAGCCTGCGCTCACAGGGCCGCCCCCCTCCACGCAGCTGCAGTTGGTGTAGAAAACCTGGGTGGGAAGAGAGGGGAGAAAGGCCCTTAGGAGCCTCCAAGGGCAGACAGCTGGCCGAGGGCCTGAGGCCCACAGCCAGCTGGGATAGAGTTGGCCAGAGTGAGGGCCTTCTGACCCCTTGGCTGAGTCAGGATGGCTTGAGGAGCCAGGCACCTGGACAAGGATTCTGTGTGTGTGTGTGTGTGTGTGTGTGTGTGTGTGTGTGTGTGTGTGTGTGTGATGGGGGAGGGGGTGGATACAGACAGAAAGAGGAGCCTCGCTTCAAGTCAATTGCAAGAAAACATCCCCAGGATGGCCATGTCCCCAGGCTGGGCCTCTGGAACATGAATTCACACTCCCTAGGCAGCCTGGAAAACCTTGGCCAAGGATTCTTCCAGAAGTGATCTGAACTGCCAGTGCCCTCAGGCTCCAGGTAGGAGCAAGGCCAAGCCAAGAAGTCTGGGCTTATCTTTTCTTCCCCATAGATCAGAGCATCTTGACCAGAGTGCGCCAGTCACCCAGGGTCTCAGATGGGACACAGGTGTGCAGAGATCGGTTCCATCAGACCTTGAGGTGTCCTGGCTGGCCTGGGCAGTGGGAACCCTCTGCCTCTAACCTCCAGTCCTGGCAGCCACAGACTCTCCCCAGTGTGAAAAAGGTTGGAAAGCCCTGAGGTGGATGCTGGAAGCCTTGGGTTATAGGGACAAGACCCTATCTCACAAAGGCCACTCTGGGGCTTCCTGGATGAAGGACTGGATGGGGGAGGCAGGTGAAGGGGCCCATCATGGAGAGGGGAGTAGATGGATAAAAGGGTTTTGATGTGAAGTTACTTAGGAGGGGAATCAGAAAGGGGAAGGAGAGAAAGAGATGGGGAGAGAGAGAGAGGGAAGGAGGGAGGGAAAGAGAGAGGGAGGGAGAGAGAAAGGGAAATAGAGAGAGGGGGAAGGCAGTCAGAGGGAGGACAGAGAGACAGAGGGAGAGAGGGAGAGAGAGGAAGGGGGGAGAGAGAGAATGAGAAAAGGAGAGAACACTTAGACATTCAGGCTTTGGTAACTGGATGCTCTCCACTGCTGGCAGAACTGATGTGTGTCTCCAGGCTGTGTGACTGCCCAAGTGTACTCATTTCACACTGCAAGGAAAGTGGCCTTTGGACCTCCAACGACAGGCTGGAGATACAATGGAGGGACGGGAAATGAAGGCACATGTGAAGGCAGGTTCCTAGAAGACAAAGATCCTGTCCGCTCCTTTTCTTGGAAGCAGAAGTTTGCTGGGATGGACACTAAGACTGGAGACCTTTCTCTTGGGGTTTTCCTGACCCTTCTGTCACAGTCTTCTAATTCCATGGCAGGAAGTTCTTCTCATGAATGACTTCAATCTTTCCAGCTGCCTGGAGTTTCACTCCCCGGGGCACTCGGCCCACTCCCTTGCAGCCACCCACCCTCCCCATCTTACCTTGGTAGCTCACTCATTCATACACTGTTAGTATAGCTGCGCTGGGCACGGAGCCACCCATCCCCGAGCCAAGCTGCTCACAATCAGCCCGAGGATGCAACATGTCAAGGCACAGCTCCAGACCGGGGATGACAGTCCCTGAGTGCTGGCCCAGTCTCAGCTGCACTCTCCTCCAAATACTGTATCCAAACCCAAGCCTCTGATAATCCAAAGAAGGGGCTTGGCTGGGAGGCCAGAGCCTTCAGGTATAGTCCCAGCTCTGGTATTGAGACTCTGAGTAGTACCTGGTCCTTTCCTGGGCCTCCATTTCTTATCTGTACAATGGGCATAATCTGTACAATACACTTAGTGTGTACTATGGAGTGTTAACATTTTCTAGGCACTGTGCTAAATGCTTTTCTTGGACCATGTCATGTGGCTCTTCATTCACCATTTAATGAATTCATCTGGGGTAAAGCATCTATTTCGCACATTGTCTGCTCTATAATAGGTACTGCGTAATATCATCCCCATTGTCCAGACCGGGAAACTGAGGCACCAGTTAAATAGTTTGCCGATGGTAACAGAGCCAGTTAGAGGCAGAACAGGGTTTGGACTGGGTGGACTGGCCTCAGTGTTCAGGGCCCACATCCAGAAGAGTTTACAGCCCCACCTGTCAGGGCCCTGGGGCCTCCGGAAGAGCTCTCAGAGAGACTCAACTAAGTCAGGACAATGAAGGCTAGGCGGTCCGGAAGGTTGGGTTTGTGATTATTCCAAATGCGAGGAGTTTACACAGCCTGCATGGTGCCTGTCTGGCTTCTGAGGGACCAATCATCAACAGGTGCTATCCTCTGCACCCACAGGTGTAGCCCCAGTCACCCCCTGGAGAAGCCTCGGGCTTAGATGCTGATGCCTGGCACAAGGGCAGGATTCCGTATCACTCCAGACAGAGGAAGACGTTGTCATAGCAACCAGCCTGCTGCTGCCCCCTTCCCCATTCCTGATTATAGCCTGGGGGCCCGAGAAGGTGGAATTTGTCCCCCTTTGTCATTTTAGGGGAGGGAGAAGGAGGGGCAGAGACAGCTGGTCTTGGTGGCCTTTCTAAAGTTCACACAGAATACACTGCTGCTGATGACACTGCCCTCATTTCCCTACTGGGCTCCTTGGCTAAGTCCTCAGCTCCCAGGATAGGGCCTGGGCACAGAGGAGGAGTTCGGTGAAGGTTTGTTGATTGGCTGACTGACTGACTGACTGAATAGACTCATTAAATCAATCTCCTCACTGGTTACCCTATGTCCTATCCTGTACTCTGCTCACCTTCCTCTGCACTATGACCTCACATGGGATCAAATACAGATCTGACTCAATCACTCCCTTGCTGAAAACCCATCCATGGCTCCCCACTGCTCTCCAGATAAAATTCCTATTTTATTTACCTAGAATTCAAAGCTCTTCCTTCTCTGGGTCTTGCTTTCCCTCCATGAACACTTATGCTGCTCCAATGAATTATCTGTAGTATCTGTGTGTGTGTGTGTGTGTGTGTGTGTGTGTGTACATTTTTCCAAATCTCTACTTATGCTATTCCCCCTGCCTGAAAAGCTCTTTCCTTCTAAGTCCTAGTTTACCTGCAACTCACTCTTGGATCCAGCACAAACATCACCTCTCACGAAGACTTCTGGGACCCTCCTGGGTGAAATGTGTCCCCTTCCATCCTTGTATGTACTTGTAGGGGGCTCTTCTTTTGCCTATCAGCACCCTTGGGATTCCTGTGAGCTACTTCCTTTTGCATCTGCCCTCCACGGAGAGCTAGGGGCCAGATCTGGCTCACCTGCATACACTGGGCCCAGGCTAGCAATGAAAGTTTACTGGGAGAATAACGGTCTACATCTGCCAACAGATGGAGGAGACAGAAGGAGGCAGACAGACAGAGGCAGAGGGGAGAGCTAGAGAGTGAGGGCATTCAGGGCGGACCGTGACAGCCACGGGCCCAAGGGAAAGGCAGAGCTCTGAGGAGCAGAGGCTGCCCCAGGCCCAACTCACCTGGCCTTTGTCCAGAGTTTCCTGGACCACCTGGCTTGAACAGCCTGCCTGGCAGGGCGTGATGTATTCCACATGGGCGCTGGGGTCGCAGACAGGGTTAAAGTCGTCCGATGGGCAGGAGCAGAGCTCCATGCAGAATGGAAACAACCCTGGGCCAGGCGGGGTGCTGGTGGGAGAGAAGGGTGGTGGGGTTGGTCTGGCTCTCCGATAGGTGTGGACTCAGCCCTGCAGTCTGGCTCCCCACCCCTGAGGGCAATGGCCAGAGATTTCAGCCCCACACAGGGGTTTTTCATTGTCAGGGATGCCCCACGATGGTGGGGTGGTAAACTCCTTGCCATGAAGGTATGCAAGCTGGGAGACTGTGAGCTCAGGAGGCCTCCTGATGGGAGAAGTGGGGAGTAGAGTCTGGACCAGGGGCCTCTGAGACCCCTTCCAACCCACAGATCCTACGAGTCTTTGGGTTTCTTCTACAAGTATCTCTGCCTCAGTGACTTTTCTATAGGGAATACAAGATCAACTGTGTCAGACGAAAAGTATCTTTCCCTCAGTGAGCTGGATTGCTTCTTCTTCTCAGAAAATTAGAGCTATGAGTGTGGGACCCAGCAGGAGAACTGACCACCTGTGGCATCTCCAGCCTGTTCTGGGCTCCCTCTGGGCCTCAGTTTACCTGCCCACCATTGCCATCCTGCAACCTTGACTTCCCTGCTCACTTCCACCACCCTGTTCCCTGTGTCCAGGGTAACATTTTATTTTATTTATTAAATTTTTCGAGTTGGAGCCTCACTCTGTTGCCCAGGCTGGAGTGCAGTGGCATACTCACGGCCACCTCAGCATTGACCTGCTGGGCTCCAGTGATCCTTCCTCCTCAACCTTCCAAGTAGCTGGAACTACAGGCGCATGCTACCATACCCGGCTAATTTTTGATTTATTGTAGAGATGAGGTCTCGCCAAGTTGCCTGGCCTGGTCTCGAACCCGCGGGCTCAGGCAATCCACTCGCCTCGGCCTCCCAAAGTGCTAGGGTTACAGGCTGAGCCACCGAGCCCAGCCCCAGGACACATTTCAGCTTCACCTGCCTCCCTCCTGAGGGCCCGCTCTCAAATCCCAGAGTGTCCCTGCTCCAGTTTCCAGGGCAAGGTGGGGAGGCCAGGGCAGGAGGTCAGAGAGAGGCTAAGTCCGAGGGGAAGGTCATCCTGGGAAAGGGGCGGGAGGTGGCTCCTGGGGACTCAGAGTATGACCTGGCTTTATGTTAGGAGGGAACATAGCAAACCTGCCGGGGACACAGAGGCCCAGAAAGGCTGGTGCCTCACTTAAGGTCACACAGTGGCTGGGCTGTGAAGGAAAAGGCCGGAGGGGGAGGCTGAAGGTTCCCTGGTGGGCGTGGCCCAGGCTCAGGGGCAGGCGTGGTTAGGTTAGTGAAGTCTCAGTTCCATGGAGGATAGGGTTAGCAGGAGGTAGGGAGATGGACTGTGGCCAGGGCGTGGGGTAGGAAAGAGGGGCACAGGGCACAGGTGAGCTCCTCATCCTCCCTAGTGGGAGGGGTCTCCCTATGAGTAGGGAGGAAGAACATCAGCCACACAGGCCTTTCATCTTCCTCTCCTGCCAGACAGCACTCGTGTGTGTCTGACACAGTCTTGGCACGTCTCCCTCAGGGTGCTGGGGGAGCAGGGAGCAAGCTGACACTGTCTGAGCTGAGGGCTCATCAGGAGGCTGTGCCAAGGGACTCCGCCCAGGAGGAGGCACTTCCCAGAAGCCTCTGCCAGCAGCTGGAAGGCTGAGCAGATGAGAGCTGGGGGGCTCTTGCTCGGTCCCTCCTCTCTCATTGCCCACCTGGAGCTGGCTGCTTCTGTGTGGAAAGTCCAGGCTCCAGGCTCTGCCCCGTCCCCCTGGGTGGGTGACTTTGACTCTCTGAGCCTCGCTATACTCCTCTGTGAAGCAGGAATAACAATAGGACCCACTCCAGAGATCCTGTGAGGGTTCAACGAGATGGAATGTGGGAAGGGCTGGGCATAGTGTTGGGGGCGTGGGAGACTCTCAGTTCTTAGAACTGTTGGTATTCTGAATTGTGTGGAGATGCGAAAAGTCCTTGACTTGCTTAGTGGGTCCCCAAAGGCTTCTTTAATAAATTGGAACGCAGTGCTCAGGAAATAAATTGCAAAAATATAGATGAGAACATGGGTAAGATGAGGTGTCAAAGCCCAGGACTGAGAGGGAGAAGAAAAGAGAGACAGAGCATGCAGGATGCCTGATTTAAAAAAAAAACACAACACACACACACACACACACACACACACACACACACACACAAAACTGTGGTAAAATATCCATTCACTTTTTACTCTAAAAAGCATTTGAAGGCTCTGGCTCTTTCTTCAGACCAGGGATTTCCCGAGGACATGGCTGAAGCCGTTGCTGCAGTGCCCAGAACAGGACTCTGTATACAGAAGGCCCCTTCCAGAAAGCAGAGTTGCTTCCCTGTTTGAGAACAGGAAAAGAGGGCAGGGAAGGAGGGGAAGGAGAAGGAAGAGGAAATAGGGGAGGAGCAGTTGTTGAGGGTGGGACCTGAGACAGACAGGAAGGGCTGGGGGCTCCTTGGCCCTAAGCTGAGCTCCCCACAGCCATGTAGAAGGAGCCCAGGTGAGGAAAGCTGGCACCTGGGTGGTGATAGGAGATGCCAAGGAAGTGGTGGGGCAGAGAAAGTTGGGGAATTCTGACTGGGTGTTGGGCCAGCTTAAGCCTGGAGCAGTTTCCAGGAAAAGTGAAATCATTCTGGAGAAGAGGCAGGAAGGTAGCTTACAATGTCCTCTCCAAGAAAGTTCCCTGGGGAGTGTGTGTGTGTGTGTGTGTGTGTGTGTGTGTGTGTGTGTGTGTGTTGGGGGGGCAGGTGGGGTTTGGGGAGTGGGAGGGGAGATAGGCATCAGGCCTTCCTTCTGAAGGGTGGAGGCAGGTGTTGCCTCACAGATGTGGAAAAAATAATTCTGAAATTTTAGGGGCATGGAACTACTGAATTTTGGCACTCACGCTCTAAGAACCAAAAAGCCAGAGGTCTCCAGTCCAGCCCCTTCTCCATACATGAGTCCCCTCTGCAGCCTCCCGGACAGGGGCCACCCAGGCCTTGCTCACCCCCTCCCCCATCCTTGTCCCTGGGGATGGAGAGCTTGCTTCCTCCTGGGCAGGCCACTTCTCTGCCTGGGAGTAAAAGTCTTTCTCAAACCAGAGTTCTGCCTCTGATGCTGAGCCTACCAGGGCTCGGCCACCCTGGACATGCCCCGTCCCAGCCTGCACCTCTCCCAGGCCTGAACTTCCCTGCCTTTGATGTCCCATCTGTGCCCTGATGTCGTCACTGGAGGGCCCCATGACTTGGCCCCAACAGAGACCTATTAGGCAGAGAGGTGAGGAGACCGCTATGGGGGAGGTGAGATCTGAGGCGGGCGGTACCCCACTGACCCGGCCTCTGTCTGGGACGCCGTCCTCCCCCCATCCCGCCTGCTCACGTCGCCTGCAGGCGCCCACACACACGCTCACCCAGGCTGGCCGGTGATGCCCGCGATCTGGTGGGTGGGACAGCCGATGAAGAAGAGGGGCAGGCTGACGAAGAGGCACAACAGCGACCCCAGCAGGCAAAGAGCGCCGCAGCGCAGGGGGCTCAGGCGGAGGCCCTTGACCAGCGCACCGCCCACCACGATGCCCACGATGGCCGACGGGATGATGAGGCAGCCAAGCAGCAGGTTGGCGTAGGAGGCTGTGATGGAAAACTGCCGCTCCAGGAACTTGGGCAGGAAGGTGGCCATGCCCGCCACCATGGACGACATGCACACCTGGGACAGGGCCACCAGCAGGAAGATGGGGTGGCGCAGGGTCCGCAGCAGCACCCTGGGGAAGACTGTTGGGGCGAGGGGGGAGGAGTCAGAGCAGGAGGCCAGCCACGCCCCATGACTGACCCCTGCCCCGCTCAGTCCAAGCTGTTCCATTCCTTCCATCACGTCCCTTCCCACTTAATTCTATTGCAATCAACTCCATCCCATTTCATCGGCCTCTTTTCCATTGAACTCTATCCTGTTTGTGAGATTGTTTCACTCTGTTCCATTGACTGCATCTCAAAATACATTTTTTCGTTTAATTCTGTTTGATTCCACACAGGTCTCGTCCACACCATCCTATTTGGTTCTGTCTCATTTCTCCCATCCCATCTCATTTCCTCATTTCATCTTTCTATCCTACTTACTCATTCCTTTTTCTTCCCTACTCAGCACTTTCCATCCTGTCCCGCTACAGCTCTTCCCAAGCCACCTGGGCCTCCGTCCTCCCTTCTGTGTCTCCACCCTCATCTCCCATCCCTAGTTTGTGTTTCTCCATAGCACTTCACCTAATGTCCTTCATCTAGCTGTTTATCCTCACCCTGCCAGAATGTAAGCTTCCTCTGGAGCAGGGGGTTTGTCTGCTGCGGTAACTACTGGATCTCTGGGCATACAATAAATATTTGTGGGATGATTGAAGGAATGAATAAAGGGACATATAGACAAATATGTGATCAGATGTCAAAATGTCCGGGGCAGACCTCCAGAGAAGGTGAAACACAAGCAGGCTTAGTACTGGAGGCTTCCTGGAGGCAGGGCAGAGGCAGGGCTTGAAAAATGGAGGCATCTGTAGCACTTTGGGAGGTCGAGGTGGGCGGATCACCTGAGCCTGGGAGTTTGAGACCAGCCTGGAAACATAGCAGATTGAGTCTCTACAAAAAAATTTTAAAAATTTGCCAGGTGTGGTGGCATGGACAAGTAGTCTCAGGAGGCTGAGATGGGAAGATTGCCTGAACCCAGGAGGTTGAGGTTGCAGTGAGTCATGATCTTGCTACTGCATTCCAGCCTGGATGACAGGGTGAGATGCCAACTCAAATAAATAAATAAGCAAATAAATATTGTTAAAAAAAGGAGGCATTTGGAGAGGTGGGGAGTGGGGAGAGGAAAAGAAATTCTGAATAGAGGCAGAGCAGGGGCAAAAGTTTGGAGACAGGAGGAGAAGTGACTTTCGGCATCGGTGACCTCTTCAGTCTCCTGGTAGCTCCTAAAATGGGTGTCCTCATGGCAAGTCTGCTAAGTTGAAGGGTGCAGAAGGGTGGGTAAGACCCTTCCTCCCTGGGCAGGTAGTAGGGGCAGCCCAGGTGATGTCCAGGAGCACTTTCTGTTCTGACCGAGTGACACTTTCTTCATTAACAACAAAAGAGAGGGAGGTAAGACTGAAGTTAGGAGCAATGTATGGAGGAGAGGAAGAAATGCCTTTCTAGGAAGAATAGCAAATCACTTGCCAGGTTGGGCTGCTGGGGCAAGATAACCGTGGGGGTCCTCTGGGCCAGGTGAGGCAGCAGCAGGCCCTGAGCCTCCATCATGGGAGGATTTCTGCCTGTTCTCCGAGCATGGCTGAGCCAGTTGGTTCCCCAGCCCCCCTGGGCCTGGCCAAGAACCGTTTTCTTGGGAGGCAGAAAATAAAGACAAACAGTCCAAGAGGAGTGGGTGGGGGCTGAGGAATTCCCTGACGTCCCAGGCCTGCCTCCTTGCCAGCCTCCCACCTGTCATAAGCTGCCCTGGTCAGGGCATCGGAGGCCCTATGTGAGCCGTGGAATTTCGATCTGGCTTGGTTCAAGGTGTACAGGTGTCCTCACTGCATGGTGGGGCCCACAGAGGGGCAGAGACTCACCCAAGTTTATCCAAAGAAGCTGGGACAAGGCAGGAATTCCCTGGGGTCTCTTGACTTCTAGTAAAGGGCCATTCTCCCTTCATCCTCCCTGTCCCTGCCTGGCTCTGACTGTTTCCTCCCAATTTCCTGCACTAATCACTGCAGAGTCCTGTGTGCCCATCCTCCATCTCTCCTTGGCATCCACAGCCCGTATTCAGAACAGATGGAAAATTCCTGGAGGGCAGGGGCTATCTATGCCTTTCACATAGACAGGGCGACCTGAAGGGGAATTCCAGAGACGTCTCCAGCACAGAGGCAAATCTTCCCCATGAGACAAGGCTCCCCTTAGCTCGGCGCAATGACTCCCATGTCAGATAAGCCAGAACTTCCCTCAGCTCAGCCACTATGTCCTCCTCATCAGCCAGGGGTCTCATCTAGCTTAGAGGCCAGGTATCCACTCTCAAATAGGACAGGTCCTCCCTCCATTTAGGAACTATGTTTTCTCCAGCTAGCTGTCCCTTAATTCAAGGACAATGTCTCCCTCATTAGACAAGAACCTCCTCCACTTCAGGGACTATGTCTTCCCCATCAGTCAAGGGCCTTCTCCTCTTAGAGGTCAGATTTCTTCCATCAGACAAGGCAGGCTCTCCCTCCATTCAAGGACTGTGGTGGGCTCTCCCTCCATCAGAGAGACTATGTCTACCCCATTAGACAGGGGCTTCCCCCAGCTCAGGGGCTATGTCGTCCCCATCTGACAGAGGCCTTCCTTAGCTCAGGGACTATCTTTTCCCAAGAGTTTAGGGCTCCACCAGCTGAAGGACATGATTCCTCCTCCCTGTGCCTCCCTCAGGGTCCTAGGTGGTCAAGGCCAGGCCCTAGAGTCAGACTGGCCTCTGTGAGGTTCAGCAGAAGCCAAATTAGCTAACTGACCACAGGGCCTATGGCCAGCCCTCCCTTGGTCCCCTCCAGAATCATGGAGAAACTGAAACCATTAGAGGCAATCTGGCCCAGAATACTTGCTCTTGGATCCAATTTCAGTAACTGGCCCCAGCTTCCCTCTGGGCAGGAGCCAAAGCAGTGATTAATAAGCAATTCTGTGGTGCAGTATGCTAGGGCCTTGGAACAGCTGGGGGTGACCTGAGGCCAGGCAGTACACACCACTGCTTCTGGGCCCAGCCCCATGCACGGAACCCAGGCTCTCCTTTTCCGTGGGAATGCTGGAGAAGCGAGGGCTGGGTTACTGTCCTCCCCACATCAAGTCTTGGGAAACTCTTCTTAAGAACTGGCCCGGTTCCCTCCTGTTGTAAAAGTCCTCAGTGGGGGATTAAGCAACACCTGTGGATTTCAACCTCCTAAACCACAGGCAGCTTAATTTACTATCCTAGGACATGGTCAGTACAATAACAGTGGAGTAGAAGTAATAATTAAAATAATTGGACCGAGCATAGTGACTCAGTCTGTAAACCCAGCACTTTGGGAGGCTGAGGCGAAGAGGATTCCTGAGCCTGGGGGTTCGAGACCAGCCTGGGCAACTTGATGAGATCTCGTCTTTACAATACATCACAAAAAAATTAGCCGGGCGTGGTAGTGTGTGCCTGTAGTTCTAGTCACTCGGGAGGGTGAGGTGGAAGGATTGCCTAAGCCTAACAGGTCGAGGCTGCTGTGGCCGTGAGCATGCCACTGCACTCCAGCCTGGGCGACAGAGTGAGGTTCCAACTCAAAAAAATGAAATAATTGTACCTAGTATCAATACAGTGTTTTGAGAAGTATACAGGGGGTTTCCATAAACCATCCCTTTTGATTCTCGTAATAGTCCTTGAGAGAGACAGAGCAAAGATTATTGACTCAACCTTCCAGATGAGAAAACTCAGGTTAGAGAAGGAAAGTAACCCCTTCACCAGTCAGTGCTGGGGGCAGGACTCAAATTCAGGTTTTCCGATTTGCCATCCGGTGCTCTACAAGAGCTTGGCACACAGCAGGCACTCAGTCGATGCTCACAGGATTGGAGAGAATGGAACATGTACTCTGGTTACTGATAGATTGGGTTCATAGTCTCGTCATAGCCACAAGGACCTTAGATCACTGAGTCTACTCCTCACTATACAGAGAGGGAAACTGAGGTCCAGAGGGGAGGAAGGACCTAGCACAAAAGCCCATGTCTTTGGAGTTTAGCCCCGAGCTCTCTCCCCTGGGAATTTAACAATTTTCCGAGGGCCTTCCATTTATAGCCTCAGTGATGGGTGGGCAGAGAAGAAGGGTCACAGATGAGACAGAAGAGGCCCTGACCTTCAGGAGCACAGCGCTGAGGGGAAGGGCTGCACAAGTACATGGCACAGATCTGAGCTGATATAGAGGCCCTGAGGGTTTGGAGAGCCCAGAAGAGAGAGGAAAGCAGCCATGATGGCGGGGAGAGCCCAGCAAGCTGGAGGAAGGAGTGGTTTGAGCTGGAACTAGGACAGGAAAGATTTTGACAGATAGCAGGAAAAAACGTTCTAGGCAGAGAGGACTGCATGGGCAAAGACTCATGAGGAGTGTGTGGTGCTCATGGGGGGTCTGTTAGTGAAGAGGATGAATCAAAAAAGGCAGGAATGGAGGGTTCTGTGTGGCCTCAAGCACCCCTTTGGCCCTCCTACCCATAACCTGGTCTGGGCTCGCTTACCTTTGATGAACTGGGTCACTGTCAGGTCTGGTGCGATCTGGGCTAGGCCATCCTGCTTCTCTGGGGACTCCCCAGGGCTCTGTTCAGAGGGGGAGTCCTTACCCTGGGGAGACAAAAAACCAAGGGGAGTCAGCTGGACGCCAGAGATCCAGCCCAGAGATGGCTGTGGGCTGAGGAAGGGAGCACTGGGAGAGGAGAGGCTGGGTGCTCAGTCTCCACTTCAGGAGCAATGGGGACCTGCCTTATCCCATTTGTTCTTGGCCCTGTAGACACTCAACAAGTGGTTTTGAAAGGATGAATGAAATTCCTGTGGCTCAACTTTGTCATCACCATCACCAGTGTCCACATGGCCAATTGTCATTACCATCCTTGACTTCATCGTAATAGCCAATATTCCCATGAAAATGACCACCATAACCATCATCCTCATTATTATTCCTGTCACCTTAATTATATCATGGTCATTTACTCATGTTGATAATATTGTCGTGATATGATGATTGTTTTTCTTGCCTCTGTCTGTCATGTTCATCACCAACATCATGATGATCAGAATCACCAGTATCATCATCACCGTCTCTAACATCATCACTATCACTACCACTGTCTTCCCCAAGATCAGTGTCACCAACTTCACCTCCACACCACTGTCACCATGCCACCAACGTCACCAAAAATACCATCGACTCACTAATCCTGTCACCACCAGCATCACCAACAGTATCTCTTGACATCATTATCAGTGTCATGGATACTGCTACCATCAGTGTCACCTATCCCATCACCACAATGACCAGAGTCACTGTCACCAGCAGGGACAACTTTACCACTCTGTTTCCATCACCACCACCACCACCACCAACAGCACCAACGGCACCAACATGGTGGCTACTACCTCTCTTCAGTTATTATGTCACTCATGATTGTCATCACCTGGAGAGTGGTCAGGCAGGAGCCCCTAGTGAGCTGCGCTCATCAAGAGGTTGGAGCGGTTTGGGCCTCCGGGCTCATCTTATTCTACATTGTCTGCTGGGACAGGAAGGGAGCTGTGTTGGGGGATAAGAGATAATAGCTCCCTCTCCATCTCTTGGATGAGTCGAGCCATACACCAAGAATGTGCTCACCTCTGGACCCAAACTGTGAGGATGTCCATGGACACACCAAGTGTGTCTCTCTACCTGGGTGAGGATGGTCTATGTGCAAATCCTGAAGGAGTGATCTTTTATCCAGGGCAAGAGAAGACTTGGTGTGTGTGTTGGCTGGGGGAAGCCACTGTCTTCTGAGCTCCCTGTAACTAGGAGTGTGCAAGCAGAGGCTCCCTGCCCCCACCCTCCGGGTTCAGGATCCTGTAGGCCATGGGGGAGGGCTGGGTGGCTAGGGAGAGCTCATCTAGCTTCTCTGGTTCTGCCTCCTTTTCCCACATTGCCTGTGGGGTTCCTACAGGACTCACCCTCTGGTCTGATACCTTCTTTCTTGTCATCTCATTTTTCTTAGGGAGGCTCGTGAGGCAAATTCTGGATTCTCCCCCATTTCAGAACCTCATGCCTGCCTACCCCAGAAGCTGCCCTGTTTTAAGCTTCCTCCACCTGCTCCCTGGTGCTGGCTGGCTCAAGGCTGACCTGTCTAAGCAGAACACTTAATTCAAATATTAATTCATGTGTGTTCCCTTGGGCTTTCTCTTTCTTCTCTTTCAATCCAGCAGGGAGCAGGCTCTGGGTTTCCTGTTCTCAGGGGAGTATGTGGCAGCGCAGAAAGCCTTGGTTGTAAGATCTTCCTGGCTTCTGTTTCCAAAGCTTGAATCCACTGAGAAGATTTGGTGAGGAGAGAGGGAAGCCTCTGAGATTGAGGGGAAGATAATGCTATGCTCCCACAACTAAAATCTGGAAAGAGGTTGGAGCGGGGACTGAGCAGTTTGTGAGTTCCATGAACAACAGGAAGTTATGTACTTTCTGAGATAGGACCTAAGGAAGCAGTTCACCTCCAGGGACAGGCTGCAGGCTGACAAGGGAGACTGGCCTCCCACATTTTCAGTCACACCAAGACTCCACTGCTCCAAGCATGTAAGGAGACCACATGGGCCAGGATGGTGGGTGGGCATTACTGTAATGACCAAGGTGGGCTGATGCTGATAACTTCTGGGTGGGACGGGAACCTCCCTGGGCACTGTATAAGACCTCAGCACCCTTGTTTTGCCTTGATTAGCTATCCTTGAGAAGGCTGGGGTTGAATTTCTTGATGATCTAGGAGAACAGGCATTCAGAGTAGAAATCAAGTTGATTTTTAGAGACAATAAAGGCATCTCTATTTCACAAGCTTAGGTCTGAGTTCAATCTTGTTTAGTATCTGTCTCCCCTGCTGGATTCTGAGCTCTGCAAGAGCAGAAATCATGTTTCTCTGGTTCTCTGTGGAAACTCTGGTGCTTAGCACAGTGCCTGGGGTGAAACAGTACCTGATAAATCATCTATTGAGAGAAGGAGTACAAGAGATGGCAACAATGGCTAGTAGGTGTAGCTAGTGCCAGGCTTTTGGAAGAAAAATGAGAACATCAAGAGGAGATGCTATGATACCACGAGAGAGTCCGGGACTGCTAATGGTTCAGAGCCAGGCAAAGGGTCCACACAGAGCACCCCAGGGAGCTGGCAGATCTGAGATTCCAGGCCACGCCAGGCCACTGGTATGTGGGCTGGTGACTATGCATGCATGAGCCTGCTCCATCTTCACTGGGGCCTGCAGCGGAAGGAGTCTTACCTTCACACGCGAGCAAACAAGTTCTGGGGTTAGGCAACTTGTTCAACATCACACAGCTAGAGGTGGCCAAGCTCACACCTGAGCTCAGGTTTGTTTGAGTAGAAAACCCATGCTGAAGCTGGGCTCGGTGGCTTAGCCTGTATTTCCACGCCTTGGGAGGCTGATGTGAGTGGATTGCCTGAGCCTGTGGGTTTGAGATCCACCTGGGCAACTTGGCGAGACCTCATCTCTACAATAAATCAAAAATCAGCCGGGCGTGGTAGCGCGTGCCTGTAATTTTGGCTACTCAGAAGGCTGAGGCGAAAGGATCACCGGAGCCCAGCAGTTCGAGGCTGCGGTGGCCAGGAGTGGCCACTGCACTCCAGTCTGGGTGACAGAGTGAGACTCCAACTCAAAAAAAAAAAACCAAAAAAACCCAAAAAACCCCATGCTTTATCCACCACGCCCTGCGAGCCAGAGACCCTGACACAAGACTGGCAGAATTAGGAGACCGCTTCATGGTGTGATTTGAAGGGTTCTGAAGTCTCACTGTTTAAGTCTTATTTCTTTGGGTGAGGCACCCTGGGTCTATTATTCATTTAGAACTGCACTGTCTCATACAGCAGCCACTAGCCACATATGGCTCTGAGTACGTGAAATGTGGCTAGTCCGAGCTGAGATATGCTGGAAATGTAAAATACACATTGCATTTTGAAGACTTCGTATGAAGAAAAGGAAAATATTTCATTATTCATTTTTTACATTATATGCTAAAATAAGAATATTTTTGATACAGTAGGCTACTAGAATTTACATATTTAGAATTACATGCATGGCCCACATAATATTTCCTTTGGATGTGCTGCCTTAAAGAGAATTCACAATTCTCCTTTCTCAGTCCCGGCCAAGCTCTGTGAGAGTGGTCTAGGAAGGTCACCATAGTGGTGGGAGGGTCCCAGATAGCCGAAGCAAAGGAAGCTAAGGGTGGGTGTTGACCCGGGAAGAAAGGAGGAGATGCTGAGGATAGACTGACAACTTTCTTTTTCATTTCTTTTTTTTCTTTTTGAGTTGGAGTCTCTCTCCTTCACCTAAGCTGGAATGCAGTGGCACGCATGCTGACAGCCACCCCAGCGTCGACCTGCTGGGCTCTGGCGATCCTTCCACCTCAGCCTTCCAAGTAGCTGGAACTACAGGTGTGTGCTATGACACCCAGCTAATTTTTTATTTATTGTAGAGACAAGGTCTCACCAAGTTGCCCAGGCTGGTCTCGAACCTGCGGACTCAGGCAATCCACTCGCCTGGGCCTCCCAGAGTGCTGGGATTACAGGCTGGACTGACAACTTTCTTATCAGGGAGGGGCAGGTTCACCCTTTAGAGACAAGCAGATTCTTTTGAGTTCCTTGCCTGGGTTCCTTGTCCTCATGTAAATGGTAAAAATAACCCCAATGTCATCTGCTCCCACACATACATGTCATTTAATTCCCACAGGAGTCTGTCTGGTGCAGAGATTATGACTGTACCTGTTATACAGAAGAGAAAACTGAGGCCCCCAAAGGGGAAGTGTCACCCAGAGAGTTATTGGCAGAGAAGGCTCTCAAACCAGGTACTCTAGTCTCCCTGTTCAGCCCTGTCTCCTGCTGTGGAAAAAGCATGGGATTTAGAGATAGGAGGGAAGGGACAGACCTTCAAAGGCTGGGTGGTCAGGGAAGGCATCTGGAGAGAAATGCCCTTTGGGATTTGAATAGATGGAAGCAGGAGCACAGGATAAGCAAAAGCATGGTGGTGAGAAGGAGCTTGCAGTGTGCAGGATGCGGCGGGGACATCAACCGGATCACAGCAAGTACCTCGCCGGGGCAGGAGTGGAGGCAAGAGATGAACCGGAGCCAGACCTGGCCAGTTTGAAGGGCCAGACTAAGAGATTTGGGCCTTTTTCTTTGGCATCAGGAGTCCAAACTACCCCCAGCTCTTGTCCCCTGTATTCCCCACAGATTTTCGCCTCCTCCTAATCTGTTTCGAGGACAGCTGACTAATCGCGGGTTTCAGAAACAGGAAACACTGTGCCTCTGCTAAGAGCACGACTTGGAGGACGTGTTTACATGTGGTTTGCCCAGGTCAGCAGGCCTGGATTGAGGGGGCTGTTGAAACTTCCCCTTTGCAGTTCTGTGCTGACTGCTGCAAACCTGCCAGACATAGCATGCTGTGTGTGACTCAGTCGGTGGAAGGCCCCACTGTCAGCTGGGCCTCCAGGGATCCAGGAGCCGTCCTTGAAGGGAGCTGAGTTCCTAGAAGGCTTTGTTCAGGACATGGGTCCTCAGTCCCATGAGTGAACCAGTGTGGACTCTGGCAAGTGAAATAGAACTCTCTTCTGGCCCTTGG